CCTTTGTAATAGTAACGTTCAACAAAACTTTTATTTCTGTGACATTTTGTTGTAAATTCCAATGGGGAGGAGAGAGAAAAATTTGAACAAATATTCTCTGTAGTCTTTGCTTTGTGAGAAAAGACATGAAGCCTGAGAATCTTGCAGTGAGAGTGATTTAAAGCCAGCCTGAGTGAACACTGTCAGGAATTTCTGGTCATCTCAGCACATGCTGCTACCATGCTCTCTTCATTGCCTTGCTAGCAAACGGCTTAAAAGGCACTAATCACTGCTGACCCAGTAGAGCACAAAAGCCTAGAGCAAAGATTCCTCAGAGGTGGGTTCAGAGAGTTAATTGCTGTAGTCTGGGCACACTTGCCTGAACTCTGGTCATCTGAGGGCCTGGTTCTTGGGTGCGCTCCAGGTGGCCAAGAGCCAGGGTTCAAGCAGACCCTTGCCGAAGTCTGTATGAGTTCCACCTTGTCTGGGTGCCTATTTGAGGGTCACCAGCTCTTTTCTAGGAAGGGAATGGAAGTGCTACTCAGCAAATAACTGGGTATAGTTAACAGATGGGAGAAAACTGTCCTCCAAAAAATCAGCTCAAAACCCCAAGAAGTTCATCTTAAGCAGCAACAGCCCTTTCCCATTGTGGGACCTGTGACAGAATGTTGGTAAAAATGCATAAATGTGACTCTATGGTAGAAAAAGAAAAATTCTAAGTAATTCTGCTGAGCACACAGCAACACGTGCACATAAGACTCATGCTGTGGGCCCTAATATGGATATTATGCCACTTTTCACTATAGCTTCCTTAGCTGGGCTACCTTTCCTGTTGCTCTCTGTTGGAGCAGTAGTAAGAAGTGGTGAGGTGCATATGACATGAGGAAGCTATAAATCTTGGAAGATAGTCAGGCTGATTGATGCAATGAAATGGGAACATGAAACTACAGCTCCCACCATGTAGTGCACGTAGCATGCTTCGGTTTGGGAGACAAATGTTTTCTATAGTCCTTGCAGTCCTTGCAAAATATTTCAGTTAATCCAAATACCATTTTTCTTTCAAAAAGAAAAGAAAAAAGGAAACAAGGAGATTTTTTTATTATTAAATCCCAGATTGGACATTATTCTTACAGTCCGAAATCACAAGCAGGTCCATTAGGAAATCAATGCTGCTATTGAAGATACAATGCAGTACAACATTGTTTTACAGTGAACAGGAATTTTGCTTTTATGGAACTTGTGGTTGTCTCCTACTAAATCAAACCAAGAATCTCATGGCAACAATTCAGGTAAGGCAAATGGATGATATTTTCACATAAAAAACATCCCTGCAGTTAAGTGCCCCAAAGGGCAACATCTTTACAAGTGTTCCCAAGAAATATATGGCCAAGGTATTCATTAGTAGTTTTACTTAACTTGAAGCACCATTTTTAAAGTATTTCCTAACATTTATCTGGCAGCAGCTGCAGCAAGGAGCTCTGATATGCACCAGTGTCTCCACTGTGCTAAGCACAGTCCTGTCCCAGTGAAGGCACAGCACAGGCCCCAGACTGGCATTCAGTGTAGTCTGCGGTTGGACCATCCAAAACATGTTTGAACCTCGTAAGACAACATTTCAAGGACACTTTTAGGCAGATTTTTAATCACAACAGGGAAAAAGAACCCAAAGTATTTGAATTATTTATCCTCAACAGTGTATTTTTAGAGAGAGGAGGTTAAAATAAACTTTATCAGTTGGAAGCCTTAGCCTGATTGGAAACCTCGCCATATATTTGGAGTCCTGTTTAATAAGCCATCCAGACAGAGGGAGCATTCTTCTGTAAAGCCCGTTTGGCACAGAAGTCTGCAGCAAGAGCTGAGCAGGCAAATCCCACGGCAGGGGAGAGACAGCACTTTTTGACCCAAACAATGTCTAGACAGCCTGAAAACAGATAAATTAACAGGCAAGCAGCAGAGGCATCACACAGCAGCAAAGCAGTGGATATTTGTCACCTCAGTGATGGGTTAAATGAAGATTCAAGGCCCAGTATAGTCTTTATGAAACACAATGTACTCCAGCTGTCTCTCTCCCTCCTCCTGAGCTATTTACTGTGTTAACAGCTCCATGCAGAAAGTTCACATTCACCGACATAGTACACGTTTCCCATCTTTTACAGACTGCCCTAATGAGGCAGCAAGCTCAGAACAAATTAGTGACAGAATTCCCCCATCCCCTTGCTCCCAGTGTAGGAACAAACATCCTTTCCTCCTTGCATACCCTGCAGAATCTGAACTCAGAGCAGAATGCTGTGATTCATGGCAAATGAGAGGGGGGTTGTTCAGTCTAATGGTGTAACAATATTTTTCAATGCGATTCCTGCTCGAGGATGTGTTTGCTTTACAGCCTGGCTCTCCTGTTTGAGAAAACACATGTTTTGCTATATATAGTAGGGCTTGAAAAATAACTTCCGTTCCTAAACCAAGCACAAATAGTTTCAGATGACACTTTGGGTAGAGAAGATATGTGATTTCAGTCACTGTGTTTACTGAAAATTATGCGCACACAAATTACCTTAATGAGATGCAAACCTTGTCGTTTGCGTTTAGTGCACCAGGAACAAAATTCTGGTAGCAGCAATGAAGGTACATTTAACATACAGAAAATAAATAATTTGTTACATCAATGCTGTCAAAATGAAGCAAGCCAAACTGTGATTAAAGCAGCTCTCATTAAACCAGAGCCTGACTTCCAGAGCTGTTGTGAAAACAGCAAAAGAGCAATTTTCCTAAGTACATTTCAAGTGATTGAGTAAAGATTGAACTTATGGTAGACTATGTTATAGAATACTACTTAAAGTGTTTGAATTATGATACTTCATAACACAGAAGTCTTCACACAGTACAATTTTAATCCGTTTTTGTTGCTGAGCTTGAAAGCATATTAAAGATTGTGAGACTTTCTGTCTGTGAGACTCAGCCCCACCGTTCTCAAATATGACAGCAAGGAAGTTTTGTCTGTGTGAGATTCCCTGTGTATGTAGAGGGATGGAAGTGAGAGAGGCAGAACTTCTTATATCATGCAAGATGCATGTCTTGGCTCCTGCCAAGCAATATTCTGTGCATCTTCAGTATGGCAGAAGTTGTAAACATGTTGTATAATCACATAACTGGGCTGTGACCCATTTGTTAGCAGCATAGAAAGAATACATCAAAGTCACAGATAGTCTCTGAAGACAGGCCTCGACAGATACCCATCTGGTAATAACCTCAGACTGTGAAGTATGGATGATTTATAAAGGTGTTAAGGAACTCTCCTTTGTGTATATATAAAAATCCCTGCTTAAACTCTGTACTGATTAGCTATGAAGAACGAGGAAAAAAAAAAAAAGGGAAAAAAATGCATTGTTTTAGAAGCAGTAGAGAATTGAGTGATGCACAAGAGGAGAGGTTGTAGCTATATTAGAGCCACATGTAGTGCTGGGTAGCCCTGAAGCTCTGCTGTCCAATAAGCATATGCAAGACCAAAGCATAGCAGTCCCAAATGGCAACTAACTGTCAGCCACCCTCTTGAATTTAAATGCAGCAGTCATCACAAGTGCCAAGACAGACAGTGACAGGCTACACTAGCAAGTCTAGATACCCTATTCCTGGGGTACAGTCCACCTCTGCAGACCTTCTGCTTTGATTTGATGAAGAGTTGCTATTCATTACTCAACTGGGGCTCTGTTTGACACCAAAGGAGGTCAGGGTTGTATTCACTCGTGCCCCGTGAGCCAGGCAGAGTCTGAAGCAAGAGCATCACTTTCAAAATGTGGTATTCACATACAGAATGTGGTTTTAACAGGAAAAAAAAAAGACCCATTTCATTGTGTAGTATCCCACTTTTGTGCAAGATGCATACAAACACAGAAATGTAGTCCCTTTAGTTATCTTAATAACTTGGACAAGCATGATTACTGAATGCTGAGTGCATGCAGATATCCTTTCCTGTCATGACTCCAAACCCATGGCATGGGTTTTCTTCATGGCACTATATTCTGTTTACATTTATTGCTTTGTTGGGACCCTTTCCTTTCCCCAGACTCTTTCGGATTTGGGGAGGATGCATCATTGTTGTTAGGTATCTTCTGTAGTCAAGACTTGTAAGTTCTTACTCTACTGTTATACTGCTCCACTGGAAGGTTTATAAGTCATGCTACTTGTCAAAGTTATGAGGATGCTGAATCATTTTTATTAGACATCGAAGTCTCTTCCCCCACCCCCTTTCATTTCTTTAGCTGAAAGGTTCATTAGATTGCAAAATGGCAGCTCTGTGCTCAGACAGGGCTGTGGGCAAATCAGGTTCTTTCCTTTGTGAAATCTGATTGATTTATATCACATTTAAAACAAGTAGTAAATGTTCAAGTTCTAAAAAGTTATTTAACAAGTGTCTGAGTGGAATGAAAATAGCTTTCTAAAATAGTGCAAATACTTATCATAAGCATATTAAAGAGACTTTTCATTTTCAGACATTAGCAAATGCCTGTAAATTTTTAGATATTCAAGCAGTCAGACACCTGAGGAAGCTTAGGATAACAATTAATTATGAGACCTGCTGCTCAAGCATCTCTTTGCAACCCTGAGTTCTGCAGCAATTTAGGATAGGTACCATTCTGCTTGTTTAGTGGCAGAGAAACAAGAGGAAGACAAGGGAAGACTGGTGCAAAATAGGATGTTATCTCAAGTGTCCCTCCAGCCAACCCAGTAGGCACTCATTAGACATCACTGTACTCCAGAGGACTCAGGAAGGACTATGCAGAATTGGAGTCTGCTAGTAGGCCCTTATTCAGGCAATTTGTCAGTGATACCAGTCATACGGGATTGTGGTGCTCTTTTATTTAGCCACCTGGCACTTAGTGCTTCATTCAATCTTGCTGAACTTAATGGGAAGAGACAGGCACTTTGCAAGAGAATCTCATTCCACTCAGAGGCATTTATGTGTCCTCTGCAGGGTGCTGTCTCTCTTGGGACAAGCTCTGGAAGTTCAGCTAAGTGCACCTCACCTGGACAGAAGATGAGGTATATCCTGGAGCAGGAAGACCTTCCAAAAGGCAGGAAGATGAGTGTGCACTTTGGGCTCAGCAGCAACCTGGAAGGAAGAACAAAGAACAGTTGTGGAGATGTAAGTTACAGCCTTTAAACCATCAGACTGTTAAACAGAGAGAAGAGCAAACACGAAGTTGCAGGTGAGCAAAGGCTAGTTCCTATTTCATGCTAATTTTGCTACAGACTCCTTGTCCAATTTAAGAGTTACTATGCTCATAAGCAGTTACTTTACTAATTTCCTTTGAAGCATAATAGGAAAAGAAAAGCAAAACAAAAAATGTGTCAGAGATGAGAAAAAATTGAAGAAAAGATGAAAATTCAGTTGAGAGAAGGTGGCAGAGGACATCTAGGGATTATGCTCTGCAAAAAAATAACAACCCTAAAAGCAGAGACTTTCATAGCAACTGAAGGGGAAAATAAAAAACCATAAAGTACAACAAAAACCCCTGCCTCCTGTGGTGAAACTTCAGTGAAATGCTATTAAGGATAAATCTTTTATTGTATTGTCCTGCAGGCAGTCTGGTAAAAACTGTATTCTCAGCATAAATGAACTCTCTCATTATAAAAAAGGGAAAAATGTCTGCTTTCAGGACTGGCTCCACGTAATGGCTGCAGAGGTACCCACAAGGGGATATTCAGGAGCAGTAGCAAGAATCAGGTCCAGATATTTCCTGCTGAAATAAGAAGGTCTCCTGATGGAGCAGACACATCAGATGTGTTTGCCACCAGCTTCTCATGCGCTGGCAGAAGACTGCAGTTCACATAAAGGATTTAGCCCAGGGAGAGCATTTAGTGAGGAAATAACTCCCTTTGCTCTGTGATTTGTCAAGATCTCCTTTAATTGGGTCTTTGGCTGAGAGATAGGGAAAAACACAGGCCAAATTAGCCTTGGTGGAGTTACAGGAAGGACAGATTTGACCCTCAAGCTGTGGAAGAGAGGGAGAGAGTTTTCGAAAGGAAAGGGAAAAGTTTTTTTAAATGTTGGTCTGGAATAGGAAGTCTCTGTTTCAAAGAGACAGTGATGTAGTGGGCTTCTGATTTAGCACATCTTCCCCAGCAATGATTACCTACAATAGCCAGAAGGCACTGAGTCACCTTCTTCTAGAAGGCGACATAAGCAGGATGTGGACATGTGGATGAAGACTCAGACAAACAGCACATCCAGCCAAAGGCAGAACCACAAGATCTTGCCTTTTTTTTTTCCTTTTTAGTTTTTTTTTTCTTTCTTACTTAGTCGATAGTGGCTTGTTGAATTTCTAATGTAGCTTTGCCCTCAGAATTTACATACATGTGTTCTAACCTCACCACTCACCTAACTTGTAATCTTAAAAGAGATTCTGAGGCCAGATTTTAAGACAGTTTAGAGATGCCATTACGTGAATAATATCTGCATGTGGTCAAACAGTCAACTATCAACTCGATAATGATACTGTTTGTATGCAAATCATGGTCACCAAGTGCATGTGTGTGCACATGCACACACACATCTGTTGTGTGTCAACCTCTGTTGCATTTCAAATGGCAGTCTAGCTCACTCCAATGTATCTGGCCATGGAAATGAAAACTCATTTGGAAAAGCACAAAATAATGCAATAGCATAGATAAAGATGCTCTCTACAACTTGCTCTCCACGACTCCCTGGAAGGAGTTTGTAGTGAGGTGGGGTCAGTCTTTTCTTCCAAGGAAGATGGTGCCATGCCCATTGTCCAGGTTGGTGATGATGAAGATATTACACAGCACAGGCCCACAGTAGGCAGCTATACCAGAAAATCCCTTTTGCCAGATCACTGAGTTAGTTTTAACCTTCACTGTTCCTACTGAAAAGCACTTCTTATGATTTTGCGATTTTCACTTTGTCACTTCATTCTCAAGCCTTTAAGTATTCATGACAAACATAGACCTGTTCATGCCAGTTTATGCCTTTGTCCTATGATAATTCTTGTTTTCCTTGAGTAATATTCGTTTAAGAACTCCTGCTGTAGGAGGGGGCACTTTCAGAATGCAGATAGCCCTCTTAATCACTCATTCCAGGCCTTTAAAATACGTTCTTCCAATTATAGTGATTGCACTCTTTGTCTTTGAACATGTGAGTTTACCTGAATCAGTTTTTATCCATTCCCCAATGGTTCCAAAGCCTTCCCTTTTAGTATACCTTCACTCTCTCCTTTCACTTAGATAAAAGATCAATTTGCTCAATATTTATTTAAATATAGTTTTTTTAACATCTCAGACCTGAGATACTTTTGCTGTTGCTATACTGAGCAAAGAATCACTTTCAACCTTTAAACAGGATTTCAGGGTAATAAACACCACATTTAAAATCTTGTGCTCATTAGTTTCTGAAACTGCAAAACTGCTTTCTGCTTGTATGCATTATTATTCCATTAGCAGACCCTGCTTGGATCACAAGTGTAATCCCACTGCAGTTGGAAGTGTTCAATCTTATGTTTACGCACACTGCTCTAAACTTGCACATTTCTTTACATATGACACTGTCTTAAAACCTCCTTTGATGATTATAAAATGTTTTTGTCATTGAAGCTTTCCATGTAGGGTTTTGTTTTGCACAATAACAATCCTTGTGGGTTTATAGCCTGTTTCATTTTTAGGGACGGAGCAGGGATTGCGAGGCAGGATGCTGGGTAAACTAAAATTCGTAGTTTATCCCAAAGTAGGTTCCCTGCTGGAGCGGATTTAAATGTATTTTTCTTTATTCACTGTGATTAATTCTGATGCCAGGGGATTCTTGGTACATTTCCTAAGGATAAATCCATGGGAATTGCAGACACTTGCTTAAAGATGATTGTTCAAAGTGCAGAGCACTGGGAAAGAGGCCTAAAAGTAAAATATGATCAAAATTCTGCTGTACTTGTAGCCTGCAGAGATTTAGGGATCGTGGATGTTTCAGAATCAAAGTTTCAATAAAAACCCCCTGTCTTCTAACCCAAAAATAAACTGGGGCTGAGTAACACACAGTGGCAGGCATGGACTGGCAGTAATATGCTATAATTATATACAATTTCCTGCACAAAGAGGGATATTTCCAGGTAATTTCTGACAGGCCTTTAACAACTGTATTTTGGGCATTAAAAAAAAGGAAAAAACCCACCAAACTCAAGTTTGATTTTAATGACCTTTATGTGACACCACAAAGGCAAAGTAAGTCACAGGCAGTGCAGTCTGTGAGGGGCAGAGGAGAACACCTGGCTGCAGGGCAATGTTACTCCTTCCAAGCTGAACCTGAAGCAGGGAAAGTGAGTTTGTCACTTTGGGAGGAAAAATGTATCTCCTCCTGCTCCTGTGGTCTGCAAGGAACCCTCTGATAAGCAGCACATACAGAGAATAAGTGTCATGATACTCCACAGGAACAAAAGTGCTACTTAGGCAGATCCAGCTGCTGTTCTCTGTTCTTCGACTGAACAGCTGTCTGCGCAGCAGACGGCGAATTCCCTGCTAAGGAAAAACCTGTTAAAAGCCTGCAGAGGGGAAACAATAGCAAGGAGTCACGCTGGCTGTGTCTATGTTAGCGTTTTAGGTTGGGACAGGAATGTGCTTTCGAAGCAAATCCAAAAGTAGGAAGGAACTGAAGCCAAGAGAATTTTTCCCAACCTCCGCTGGAATAGATGGGTATAGTGGGGCCTGAGAGGCTGCTCCTGCATACTGAGATAAGGCAGATCTGCAACATCTTCCAAAGAAAGGCGCTTTTCTAATGTGAAACCTCATCTCAAAGGCCCATCAAGCTTTTTGTGAGCTCCCCTATGTAGAGAAAGGCACATACCAACATCAGGTAAATCACACTAGACTGCTTCTACTTAGTATCTAACCAGCATGGCCTTGGTTGAAAGTTGCTCCCAAGGCAGTGCAATGCACTGGAAGTTGTGTGAGTTTCCATGTTTGGAGCTCCTGGTAGGAGTTGGGTTCCTGAATGCAACCCCCTCGCATTGTCACACAGCTAGAGAGATTGTTAAAAGAAAAGTTAATGTCTCTGCAGTGTCAGGAGGTCTGATTCTTTCCTCAAGACAAGCTCAATCATCTTTAACTGTTGAGTGGAAGCTTCTCATCCCTCAATGAAACAGTGGACAGGTTTCCACAGTGAAACTTTACTGGCTTTCACAGTGTTAAAATTACTAGCATTAGAGTTCTCCCTACAAGATATTCTGGAAGATCCAGTTGTCAAAGAAACCTTTTACTAGATGCTTGAGCAAGGAAATAACATTGTTCAACCATTTCCTGAACATTTGCAGAGTGACCTGAGTGCACAAAATTAGAGATGGCTCATCCTCTTACTTCAAGGCTATTTTAGTCCCCTGTAAGCAGGATTTACATTTCTGTACAAGGCTTTAATACCACCCTAGACTTGTTAGCATGTAAGTATAGAGATGTAAAACTCTGTAGGTGCATTTTCTAAATCCTGAGAGAATTTTAGATGAATGCATTGATGCATTTCTGAATTTCTGGACAGTGTTTTGTGAACTGTACAAGAGTCAGAACTGTGCCTGAGGAGGGATTTCACGTGGCCTGAAACGGAGCAGAATGGGACTAAATGCACAAGGCTGGACAATCTGAATTAGAACCTAGAGCATCTCACCCAGCTCAGCATGGGCAGGTGAGGTTACACTCTCCAGACTATGCTCTCTGTGGAGCCTGCTGCAAATGCCTCAGCCCAGTTGCAGTGAGATTGTTGTGATTTCCAAGCTTTTCCTTCTCTTTCTTCTATGCAGAGAGAGATACTAACACTGATACCTGCAATTTATCAGTGTGAGACACCTTGAGAAAAGAAAAAGAAAGGGGACAGCTAGTTCTGGTAGGAATAAAATACTAAATACTGCTTTGCCTTTGATTTTCTGGTTTCATTCCCATAGATTCTTTGCAAGTTTAATTTAATTTGGAATTGGTAAAACACTTTTTGCAGTACTGCATTTAAGTTCACAGTCTATAACCTGAAATAGGGGGTCAATGGCAACCAGAAGAAAGGATGCCAGAGTGCCTGAACAGGGATAAGATCAGGTGGCCGCTATGGGCTCATAGATCTGCCAAAGCATC